TGATTTATTTTTGAATCACAAAATAATTTTGCATTTGACTGTAAAAGGTATTGGTCCGTATACCTTCAGGTAATTCGTTTTTTTGTAAAAATTTCTAGCATGCTAGATATTTCGACGCGTCTGCGAGTGTCTTTGATGCGTTGTTGGCTCTTTCATACTAACAGATTGGCAAGCGTTCATCGTCCGCTAATCCCCCGTGATTTGCACGCGATAACACCCTGACCTGTCGGTGAGCTCAACGATTTTCAAATCGGGCTTAAAATCCTGTAGTGTGAACTTGGCTTAAAGTGTTGTTTCGTTCCTGAACGAATCGGTTGAGTGAGTGATTCAATACCTGTATTACACCAAAAGGTGCAATTAATGTGGTCTTTTTAACATGTTTAAAAATTAATGCAGCTGTTTTTTTATTATTATTATTATTATTATTGTATTTGCAATTAAATTGTTGAATTTTTTTATATTAATTCGGGATTCATGTATTGCACTTCATAGCCCTAATATCATAATAATATTTAATGTTGTTGTATATTAGGTCTCAGATAAAGTGATACTCGTTTTTTAACAGTATCTATGTTTCCATCCACCCAATTTTATGTGCATTTTGGGATATTGGGTAAAAAATAGTCTAAACTAGATCGGCTACAGTGGAAGTGACAATTTTGTTCTCTTCGACTAACTGGATGGAAACGCTGCTTTATTGGCAGAAAAATATTAGCAAATTTATACGATATTCCAATTTGGTGCACAATTTAATTCGCAAATTTGGTTGAAAACATAGCTAGTGACAACAAAATTTATAGGGCTCTATCTTGCACCCGGCGCAAATGACTTTATTCACTGACGCATTTACAGTGGTGGAATGTAACGAAGTACAAATACTTCGTTACTTTACTTAAGTACATTTTTCACGTATCTTTACTTTACTTAAGTACAATAAATAGTGCATACTTTTTACTTTTACTTCGTTATATTTTGCAGCAATTATTATACTTTCTACTCCACTACATTTCTAGAACTTCTGTTACATTTTCGTTACATTTTTACGTTTTTCCCCTGCCAAAACGTAATCTGACAGTCCGTTCGTTGCACGTTTGTCTCACCAGTGACGTTTGGTTGCCATAGATACAGTATATCAACCCGGTCACACTAAATGCGTCTCACACGCAGTGTGTTTATCGTGCAACTCATACGCGAAAATTTGTTTTTACGTGCATAGGAAACACACCGTGTGTAGTATATGTTTGGTTTGGTTAGGATTATGGCAAGCCAAGAGGTTTATAATTACACCATAAATTAATCTCGTTTACTGCCAAACATAGTTATTAACATATAGTAAGGATAAGCATTAAGTGTATATTGCCTAATTGCAAGCTTGTTTCAGAAATGGTGACATTTTTTTCCATCATTATTGAACATCATTATAGGAGTAGGCTATTAGGTTGAATGAGTTAGAATTAAATGTTTTATTAATCATTAGAAAATAGACATTAAGATAATAAATTGTTATGCAAGTACTTTTACTTTTAATACTTAAAGTACATTTAAAATAAAGTACTTTTTACTTTTTACTTAAGTATGGTTGTCATTGTGTTACTTCTACTTTTACTAAAGTAAATATTTATCTGGGTATTTGTACTTTTACTTAAAGGAACACTCCGACTTTTTGGGACTTTAGCCTATTCACCTTACCCCCCAGAGTTAGATAAGTCCATACATACCTTTTTCATCTCCGTGCGTGCTATAAGTCTGTTTGACGCACCCACCGCTAGCCTAGCTTAGCACAAAGACTGGATGTGAATGGTTGCAGCTTTCATACTAATCCAAATGAGTGACAAAATAACGCAAACGTTTTCCTATTTACATGTTGTGGTTTGTATAGTCACAGAGTGTGCAAATATCAAGGCCATATGAGACACAGACATCTTTTGACCGTATAAATACTATATTTTCTGAAGGGGAAGCACTGCTACTTGGGCAGAGTGATAACAATCACCTGAGACGCACCGTGACGAGGAGCAGAGAGTTCGCTTCGCTCAGCGTTGGAATAAAGAGTCAGCAATTACTAACGTTAGATAGAAAAGCATAGTTTATCATGGGTGTTTGCTTTATTGTATGAGCTGTGACAATAAACAGGGGAGACCAGGTAATACAGTACCATGATTCATTGATTTCCAACCAAAAACGCACCCAGATTTATAAATATCACATGAATAAATAATTATTATTACAGGAATCAATATATTTTAAATGCAATTTATTAGCTGAACCAAATGTATTCAACAGTAGCCTATATATACAGTATTGCATTACTATAGGATAGAATAAGGGGAAAGTAATAGCACAAATTGTTTTTGCACAATGAACTCACAGCCTATCGTACCCTTTTGCATGCTCAAGTTCGTTATTTCCATGGTTATTTCAAATTTAGGCTACTAGGCGCGCCGCGCGCAGGGTGCAAGTTCAACGCGGTGAACGCGCTCGTTTTTTTTTCCCAAGCGCGTCCGCACCGCATCAAGATAAAAACATATCCATACCCTAATCATATAATAGTGTCACTAACGTTACATTAGATCTGGCTAAAGGCACTGTTACAGTAGGTCATCTAAAAACATAACACTTACCTCAGCCGCAGGTGATCCACTTGTCCTGTCTGTGCTATCGATGGGATGGCCGTATCCTTCAGCACATTATGGTCCGTGTGGCAAATTCCATTTTTTCAAAATAGTCGTCCTCATTGAAATGTACCGAGCAAACATAATGTCCCTTGATAATCTTAGGTGTGTTTGGATAAATATCCAGAGTAAGTAGCCATTTCTTCATCCAGTCAGCGTTTTTAGTTGGAATTCTGTGAAACATGGTATTACCTCCCCTGTTTAAAGTCGCAGCTATTTACAATAGAGCGAAAACCCATGACTCTAAACTACGCTTTTACTATTTATAAATTGCTGACTCTATTACCCAAACACCCAGCGAACTCTCCGCTCCTCACCACGGCGTGTCTCCGGTGATGCGGTTATTACGCCGTCAAAGTAGCAGTGCTTCGCCTTCAGAGAATAGTTCCCAGGTTTTATACGGTTAAAAGATGTCTGTGTCTCATTTGACTTTGTTATTTGTACATTATGTGACTATACAAATCACAACATGTAAATAGGAAAACGTTTGCGTTATTTGCCACTCATTTGGATTAGTATGAAAGCTGCAACCATTCACATCCAGTCTTTGTGCTAAGCTAGGCTAGCGGTGGGTGCGTCAAACAGACTTATAGCACGCACGGAGATGAAAAAGGTGTGTATGGACTTATCTAACTCTGGGGGGTAAGGTGAATAGGCTAAAGTCCCAAAAAGTCGGAGTGTTCCTTTAAGTACTGAGATTCAGTACTTCCTCCACCACTGCGCATTTATCATTCCTATTTTGCACTCGCGCAAAGCGAGCTTTTTCCCTCCACAGACGCGGTAAACTAGAAAATGAACTTGCGCTCCCCGGGCGGGTCGGCGCAAAAAAGAGGCGTGTGTCGGCGCAAACAATCCCTGGTGCTATTTTGCAGTTCCAGAAAACAATTGCGCCAATGACCAGAAAAAAACCTAGTCTAAAGTCAGTGGTGCGTTGCGCGTACATGTGCTATTTTAAGCGTGCATGCTTGGCCATAACACAGAGTGTGAACAACGCGCATACACTGTAGATGATTCTCTCAGCTACAAAGATGCATTTTACTTTTTGCAAATGATACATTATTATAAGGAAAAATATGAGGGAAATTATTGTTGTGTTCATGACAATGGGAAAAATAGGCATAAAGCTTGCACATTTACCTAAATTATCATATGCATGTTTAACCGAAGCTAATTTGGGTGGGTTTGTCTCATCCCCAATGTCACTTCTCTTTCTTTCACGGCCCTGACGAGAACATCGATCTCCTCGGCTGTGAACCGATTGAAGCGCGCCTGGTAAATGCGCCGTTATAATAGTATTGCGCCACGGAACAAACGCACCTCGTTCATCATCACGCTCTTAAAGGGAATGTGATATGACGCTCTTATTGGTTTGTTTTCCGTTACACCCAAACCACACCTATGAATAATGAAGCTACTTCAGATCAACCCCTTTTACATTTGCGCCAGGCGCACGAGGCTTTTATCCCGCCGGTTAAATAGCAACAGCGCCGGGATCCGCCCACAAAGTTACTTGCGCTTTGTGCTTTGACACTTGCGTTTCAGATCGTTAAAATAGGGCCCATAATGTTTATTTGCAGATTTAAGCCTGGCCCACAACGCGCGTACACTGTCCCGTAGATGGTCTGCTTGCGCGCTTTAACCACGCGACCTCCTCGCTAGAGAAGCGTTCAGTTTTTCCGCCATGGCGCGAGCGCAACTAGCTTTTAAAAGGAATGGGAGATGAGACTCTGATTGGTTTATTGCACGTTATGCCCAAAACACACCCATTACTCATTGAAGGGACACTCCACTTTTTTTGGAAATAGACTCATTTTACAACTCCCCCAGAATTAAACAGTTGAGTTTCACCGTTTTCGAATCCATTCAGCCGATTTTGTGATATTTAGAAGAATTTCAGTGACCAGACAGTTTCTGGTCTCATTGACTTCCATTCCTACTATGGAAGTCAATGAGACCAACTGTCTGGTTACTGATATTCTTCTAAATATCACAAAATCGGCTGAATGGATTCGAAAACGATGAAACTCAACTGTTTAACTGTGGGGGAGTTGTAAAATGAGCCTATTTCCCAAAAAAGTGGAGTATCCCTTTAAGAGGATAGGGACAACCCTTTTAAACCATGCGCTGTGCGCGCCGACCATTTTCCTGTCGTTAATCTAGCAACCATGCGCTTAGATCATTAAAATAAGGCCCTCGAAGTCCAAAGTATGTAGCCTTTGTTCGGATACATTTGTATTATTATCCAAATATCTGAAAAGAAACTAGAATAGAATGCTTATAGTGCATCTTATATGAATTAATGAGATTTTCTCTCTCTGTGTTTTGCAGGTTAGCACTCTACGTGTATGAGTACTTGTTACATGTAGGAGCCCAGAAGTCGGCACAGACCTTCCTGTCAGAGGTGAGCCAGCAGGAGGTTTATTTAAGCTCCTGCTTATCGATGCGCCATCCAGGCACACGGCCTCGTAAGCATCGGCCCGCCCCCTGGGGGTCCAGCTAATTTAATTACACGCAGATGATATGCTGAGCAAGCAGGACACATTAGATGTTTGGTGTCCAGTAAATGGGATTGGAGGAGAGTCAGTGCATCGCTGTAAAAACAACTAAATTGTTTCAGCAGAAATGCTGGAGCAGTGCTGGCATGTTGATCATCACCTCGTTCCACTTTTTATGGCGAAAAGCGCATGTTTGCTTTGTCTTATTCGTGAGACAATACTTTCAGGCAAATCACAATAATTTATGCCTGAATGATTTCTTTTCAATGTCACTGAGGCATTGTGGGATTGATCTATGTGAAGGAAACCATGACATTTTGAAGCACTGCTTTGATATTTATAGTCTTGCCATTATTTGCATATGAGTCACACACACTTAAGAGTACAAGCCATCTTAGAAAAATAAATAATGCACCATTGATTGCTCTAATTCCAAAGCAGTGTCAATCTCAAGAACGGCAGGTCGCACTTCAAGTCCCCTGATATATTCAGATTTGCAAGGGTAACTTCTCCACATGTCTGTGACTGGACTATTTTAAGTCAGCTACTTTGTATCTAGAAATGTGTCAGTATTCTTAAAACAAACCAGCCGCTGTTGTGGTATCATTTAAATGCAGTGCAAATGAATGTGAAATATACACTTACAAATAGTTTAGTAATGTGGCTGAAGTTAATACTTTTATTCAGAAAGGACATTTAATTGATTGAAAGTGAGCATAACAGTGAAAGCTAATTCCATGTTTTCTAATGATATCTCCTAATGGCAGCATGTACAGAGTGGTCCTAGTACTGAGCCTTGCGGTACGCCATACTGACCTTTTGATCGATAAGACATCTCTTCATTTACTGCTATAAACTGATAACAGTCAGATAGGTATGATTTAAACCATGCTAATGCAATTCCACAAATGCCAACAGTAAAGATATTTATAATGTTGCAAAAATTAATTCAAATTTCTTTCAATGAATTCAAAGTTTTCTTAAAAATATTACACTGCACAACTGTTTTCAACACTGATAATAATGAATGTTTCTTGAGCAGAATATCGGCATATTAGAATGATTTCTGTAGGGTCATGTGACACTGTAGACTCGAGTAATGACGCTGAAAATTCAGCTTTGATCACAGGAATAAATAACATGTTCAAATATATTTAAACAAAAAGTTGTAATGATTTTTCACAATATTGCTGTTTTATGTATTTTTGATCAAATGAATGCATTTGTTAAAGGGGTGATGAACTGAGAAATCAAATTTTCCTTGAGCTTTTGACATCTAAGAGGTCATCATATTATAAGAATATCCTGTAAGTTGCAGAACTGAAAACGTCCTTGTTAGTCCAATAAAAGCTTTTATTGACACCAGGCTCTGCAAACGACTCGTTTTCCAAATGACGTCAAAGAGGATAAAACACCACCCCCGCAGAAAAACATCAACGCCTACTTCAACACGGCCGGTTTAGCCCCGCCCACCGATTCGCGCATTACTCGCATAGCTAAATAACGCAGGCCTGCCTACCTCGTCATGACAAACCAGGGGGTGCGTTTCCCGAAAGCATCGTTAGCCAACAATGGTCGCAAGTTGGTCGCAATTTCCATTGAACTCTATTGGTAACGACGGAACTTGCGACCATAGTTGGCTAACGATGCTTTCAGGGAAACTCACCCCGGGTCGAGAGTGAAACTTATTATAATATGCAAAACTGTTATCCACTCACAGCAGTGGGCGTTTACTTCCAATTCTTCACTGCGAGATGCCCATAAAAACTGAGCGTTTTTGACATAGGCTCAAAACTAGGGTAGAAAATAGCCTATTACTTATTCATTTTGATGTTTTTTTTAATGTAAAAACCAAACGAACGTCATAAATTGATCTCAGACAAAAATATAAATTTAAAAAAAGCCAGTTCATGACCCCTTTAACATAAAATACTTTCAAAAACAGTCAAAAAAAAAAAAAGTTTGAACGGTAGTGGACAATTTAAAATCCGATTTAAACCTGGAATATTATAAACAATGTTCTCAAACAAAGAATAGTTATGATGTAAATGATTACTATTTCTGTTGCATTATTTCTAGCTAACTAATAAAATACAGTAGCCACAAATTCTGGAATTTGCTTTTTAATTGCTGATATATATATTATATAATATACAGTATATAATAATATATAATATAAATTGTAATTGAATTTTTCCATTAAATTAGATCTGAGAATATATTCTTTTGGACTCGTTTTTTTTGAAATTAAATTAAAAACAGATTTGAGGAATTTTACATTTGTGAACACACGTGCATTATCCTTTGACAAAGATGTTGATATATTTTGGAACTGACACAAGGGGGAATCACAACCTCGGCAAAAGTGGACACCATATTGATCAGTTAGCCTGGCTGACTACAAAAAAAAACAAAAAAAAAAAACATGCTGATGGACATTTAAAGAAAGGAAGTGTTTTTTTCTCTCCTTTCTTTCCAGATAAGATGGGAGAAAAACATAACGTTAGGAGAGCCTCCAGGATTCTTACATTCATGGTGGTGGTAAGAATCACATTGTTACTGTAAATGTTTATCGTGTGCTGATGTGTTGTTCACGGCTTCTGCTTCATCCACCCTTGTGTGTTTTGCAGTGTATTCTGGGATTTGTATTGTGCAGCACCTGAAAGGAGAGAAACCTGTGAGCATTCCAGCGAAGCCAAGGCATTCCATGACTACGTAAGTTACTCTCACAATGGACTGATGGCTGAATGAATGGTGTGGTGGAGGACTTACTGTAAAGCTCAGAGCATGGATGGATGGATGGATGGATGGATGGATGGATGGATGGATGGATGGATGGATGGATGGATGGATGGATGGATAAATGGATGGATGGATGGATAGATAGATAGATAGATAGATAGATAGATAGATAGATAGATAGATAGATAGATAGATAGATAGATAGATAGATAGATAGATAGATAGATAGATAGATAGATAGATAGATAGATAGATAGATAGATAGATAGATAGATAGATAGATAGATAGATAGATAGATGGCATTGTGATTGACAATGCAAATGGTATTTCTCATGAGGCCATAGTGCTTCAGTGCAGTGATGTTGGTGCTCCTGAAAGGCTTTATTCTTTGCTGTTTGGTTCTGAGTAAGAACAAATGCTGCTGAGTCTTACAGGAAGGAAGTGTGATTCAATATCCTGTGTACCTCGGGCTTCTGGTCACCTTAACTCTCGCAAACAAGAGCACACAGGACCTAAAGTTCTCCCTGTTTCACCTTGGAGGTTGATGTAAACGTTCAATTATAGACACGCTTTCTTTCACCCAAACACACCTCAAAAGCGCAGTTTAGAAGACGAGTAAAGAGCGCAGCGATGCCGAAGATCACTGGTTTGGCCCCAAACTCATTTCTCTTTCCAGCACCAATTAGCTGAATTTCCTCTGAGAGCGTCTGGAGTGTAGGCACAACAGGAGTAATTACAGAGAGAGCTGGATTCTCAAACGAGAACATCCCCGTCCAGTACATCGGCTGCTCACTGTGACTAATTGCCAATGTACAGCAAATACACTTTGCAGCTATAATGCACTTTGCAGCTATTACTGTTGTTTTAGAAAATCTAAATTGATGAAGTTTACGAATACGTGTTTCTGGTTCTTGTTATGAATGATTAATCAGTGCACATTGCTACAAAAGATAAAAAAATTTAAAGCATTTGATCAAATTTTGTACAGTATGTTGTTACGAATCCTTTTTCTGACTCTATTATGATGCTTAATGCTTGCACACACACTCATACACTACCACTCAAAAGTTGTGAGATTTTTCAAATATCTTTTTAAAGAAGTCTCTTATGCTCAACAAATCTGCATTTATTTAACCAAACATAATAGTAAAAAAACTGTAATATTGGGATTTTATAAATCTTAGTACATTGAAGTTTTTTTTATGCTACTTCAGGATTTAGCGTTAAGCTTTGTATTAGTAGAAAACCTGTAGTATTTTTGAATTACCATTCTTTCCACCCTCCTATCCCCCTGAGACGAGAGATTTTTGTATTTTTTGTCTGGAAAATAATCCCCCGATGATGCAAAAATTGTCATTTGGCGTCATCGGAGGATTTTTTGGCTAGAGGCTAAAAACAGCCTGTAGTAGGCGCTGTCCCACATGTTTTCTCACTGGGATCTCACTCACAAGATGCACACATAGTGTCAGCCATCTTTGTTTGGTAGCTATGCTAGCAGACTCTTGTTCTGTGGAGAAAGCGGAGTAGTAGGGGTTACCATCCTTTTTTTTTTCACGGACATGTCCGGCCGTCGATGTCTGGGATTCAGCTTTTGCTTTCTGCAGTCGCCATTTATTGTTTATATTTACATTTGTTTCAATCTAACTGAATTCTTTCTGATTGGTGAATCTGAATGTAGTGTTTTCATAAACGCTAAACAAGTGATTGGTTGATGTGCGTTTTAACATTGCTAAGAAAATTCCCGCTCCTCGGTGAGAGATACGAGACCGGTGCGTCTCACAGGTGTCGCTCACCGGTAATCACGCCACTGGCCTCGCGCCGTTCTCCCGCGGCCTTCACTCGTCCTGCTCGCCACAGTAAACATAATTAATTGTGACTGTAGAACGCAAAAGCCGAATAGCGGACATTTTGGCCGATTGTGAAACACATTTTCGGGCAGACTCGTCACGGAGACTCACTAGTAGCCTAGACTTGTTGTTTAACTACTGCGCTCTGTTACCGATAGGCGTGGCCTCCTAGGGAGGCGAAGCAAGTGCATTCTGGGAGTTGTAGTCTTTCATCCACATAAGCCAAAAATACATTTTCTGGCTTTTCTCAGTCTAGAAGGCTCCAAATAAAAAAAATAAAAACACATTTTAAATACACATTCATCTTCCCAGAGGTGAAGTATCCCTTTAATTCTATTCGAATACATTTTAAAATGTGGTTTATTCCTAAGTCTTCAGTGTCACATGATCCTTCAGAAATCATAATTATATGCAGATGTTCTCATCAAGAAACATTTCTTATTAATATCAATGTTGAAAAGTTGTACTGCTTAATATTTTCTTTGAAGCTGAAATTTATTCAGGATTCTTTGATGAATAGTAAGTTCAAAAGAAACAGCATTTATTTGAAATAGATATCTTTATAACATTATAAATATCTTTATTGTCACTTTTGATCAGTTTAATGTGTCCTCGCTGAATTCATACTGCATTTTTTCCAAAACAATTGTTTCTGATTAAATATCCTGTTTCACTCCAAAATATGTCACATTACGAAAATAAAGTGGGTAGTGGGTAGTGAACGGCGTTTCACAGATGTTGCTTGATTCTGTTTGGGCTGCGTGGCACATGTGCTTCGTTTTCCCGGCAATGTAATAAACTTGCACCAGGGAGTTGTTCGCATCCTAATTCGGAGGATATCAGAGGCTCAGGCAGACGTGCAGTGCCATCCTACGTGCCAGCGTCAGTGCGGTGGCTTTTGTGCTAAGAATAAAAGCCACAGCAAGAGGGAATAAAGCCCTCATTCCTTCCCTCTCACCTCTCCTCGTCCTCCCTCAGGGAGCGCTCGTTTCTGAGAACACTTCCAAAGAGAGCGTCCTAGAGGTCACTTTCCAAGACACGGTCAAAAGGTCACCTCTCTCCATGAGTGCGATGGGATGGTTCCCCCGGCTGTGGTTTGTCACTGGCTGTGTTTGCAAAGGCATGCTGGTTATTAGGATATGTGTACTGTATACTGTTTCCTAATGGATAATATGGGATGATAAATATTTCAGAGTGCTGTCCACTTAAAGTATATCTCAGACATACATTTACATTTTGTATATATTATTATTTTACATTTTATACAATAGGGTTTAAAATTAACAACCGCCAAATGTGGGTAAAAATTAACTGTGGCGGGTAGGGTTGGGTATCGAGAATCGAGTATCGATTGGAACCGGGACTAACTTTTCGTTTTTCCCGGAATCGTTCAAAAGTTAAAATTTCGATTCCTAGTTTCGATATTCACAGTCCGCCGAGCGGAAGAAGAAACCGCTGAACAACACCAATGAAGAAGCGTCTACCGGAAGTGTTGGCATAACCACGCGAGTCGAACATGACTAGCTTACGTCGGCGATCCAAAGTGTGGCTTCACTTTTCTAAAAATAACGAAATCTTGGCAAAATGCAAAATTTGTGATAAAAGGAGTATTTTTACAGAAGGAGTATTTCCTTCAGAAAGGCCGTTGGTTTGCAAGGTTAGCTAAACTTTTTTGACCCTGCCTCTTAAAAGAATCGGAATCGAGAATCGTTAGGAACCGGAATCGAAACAAGGAATCGGAATCAGAATCGTTCAAATTCAAACGATACCCAACCCTAGTGGCGGGTAACGCTGTCAAATCACTTGTTACTTATAATGTTCACTCAAATCTGCTCAGATCTAGTGCAAGTACTCAACTCGTGAGTCATCATGATATATTAAATACAGCGTATTGCGCACAATCAGCTCATATCTGGCTTACTTGAACATGCAGATCACTACACAACAAATAACTGTGCGCATGTTCATTTGCATTGCAGATTAAAAAGCCCTTTGGTTAACAGAAGAGACATTGTTATTTTCCTACATTTTCCAATATCCTATCCTACATTTTTTTTCTGTTCTTTGTACTGAATTGATCTGTCCACCTAAAACACATTTTTGGTGATGAGGATGAAAGAGGGGAGATGGCTGGATGACTGGATTTTGTTTGAATAAGAAATTAATATAAGGGCCATTCCACCAAATGGGTGACATTTGCTTGTTGTAAACTTTATTTTTGATCTTTTTCAAAATACTGCACATATTTAACTATACAAAATGTGTATTGGTCAATTTCAGGCAACTTTACAAGGTTTAAGCAGAATATGGACGCCTGTTTTCTCAATCCTGTTACCGAAAATCATGTGTCATTTAAAAAGCAAGTTTAGAAGCTTGTCAATTAATTCCTTTGTTTTCCCCACAAGAGAGTGTTTATTTTAAAAACATTGTTGGTTATATGTTCAAAAAATTGATATTTATGCCAATAAAATCAACACAAAGGCATTTTTTTCATTTTAAAGACGACAAAAGCCTCAAGCTTATATATATATATTTTTTTTACAATTAATTCATTAAATAATTGATTAAATCATGGGCCAAACAAAACTGATAAAAATAGTGGTTTAATTTTATTTTATTTTTTTGAGAAAAAGAAAAAAAAAATAGTAACATGACTGAAAGTAACAGGATTGAGTTTTTAAGCAAAAAGTTATCAAATATATTGCATGTGGCTAATATCGTGAGGACACTGAGACATTTCTAGTGCCTTACCAAAAGTTAATATTTTTAAAATAAAAAAATTAAATCTAAGAAAAAGTGGTAATACTTTACAATAAGGTTCATTAACATTAGTAAATGCATTAACTAACATGAACTAACGATGAGCAATGCATTAGTTACAGTGTTTATTAATCTTTGTTAATGTTAGTTAATACAAATACAGCTGTTCATGGTGCGTTCATGTTAGTTCACAGTCCATTAACTAATGTTAACTAATACAACCTTTGATTTTAATAACGTATTAGTAAATGTTGGAATTAATATTAACTAAGATTAATAAATGCTGAAGAAGTATTGTTCACATATTGTACATGTTAACTAATGTAGTTAACTAATGTTAACTAATGAACCTTATTGTAAAGTGT